AGTCCTGAATATTCATTGGAAGGACTGATACTGAAGCTGAAAGTCCAATACTTTGGCCACCTGGTGTGAAGAACTGACTCATTGGAAAAGACCCTGATGCTGGAAAAGGTTGAAGACAGGAGGAGAAGGGGAAGACAGAGGATGAAATGGTTGGATGGCATCACGGACTCAATGGACATGAGTTTGAGTAAACTCTGGGAGTTGGTGATGGACAGGGAGGCCTGGTGTGCTGCAGTCCATGGGGTCACAAAGAGTTGGACATGACTGAGTGACTGAAATGAACTGAACTTCACAAGGAAAAGTTAGAACAGCATGATGTGATGATGAGTCAGCAGTGGAGTTGTGGGGACCAGGCAGGATTTGCAGTTAGAAGTGTTTCTATGTATACAGTCACATCCTCCCTCCACCCCCAACCCCCAGGGCAAGGACACTTTTCAGATTTGCGACCACATGGACTGTAGCCTACCAGGTTCCTCCACCCATGGGATTCTCCAGGCAAGAATACTGGAGTGGGTTGCCATTTCCTTCTCCAGGAGATCTTCCCAACCCAGGGATTGAACTCTGGTCTCCCGCATTGTAGGCAGAAGCTTTACAATCTGAGCCACCAGGGAAGTCTCCAGATACTTAAGGTAGCTCAAGTGGTAAAGAATCTGCCTGCAATGCGGGAGACCTGGGCTCGATCCCTGGGTTGGGAAGATCCCCTGGAGGAGGGCATGACATTCCACTCCAGTATTCTTGCCTGGAGAATCCCATGGACAGAGGAGCCTGGGAGGCTACAGTCCCTAGGGTCACAATGAGCTGGGCACAACTGAGCAAGTAACACTTTCTTTTTTCACCAGAGGTATCATTACCTTGGGGAGCCTGAATACACTTTTTTACTTACAAGAGTGCAAGGGTACAAAGATATGTGATCACTATTAGATATCACCTGGGTTTGTTTTGTCATATTTACTTGGACACCATGCATCCATTGTCACTCATTCTTTCATGCAAAGAGTGTTCGCCAAGCAGCCAGGTACATGCAGGGCTGGACTGGTAGATAAAGAAGACATTTCCCCCAGCACCCCTCACCTCTGACTCCCCTAGTTACTACCAGTTGATGTCTTTCTGCATCCCTGGCATTCTCCAGCATCTGTTGCTGTTGTTGTTGTTCGGTCGCTAACTTGTGTCCAATTCTTTGTGATCCCACAGACTGCAACACCATAGGCTCCCCTGTCCAACATCTAGTTCTGTGATTTTTCATGGCTATTTCCTGTGAAGTTCTCTAAAGTGAATTTCTAGCCTTCCTGGTCCACCTACCAAATCGCCCATCATCATCTTTGTTAAACAGGATGGTCTCCATCCCTGGTCAAGTGTTTGTCAGTCAGGAATCATGGGTTCAGTTGATTCCTCCCACATGCCTGCAGTTCACTAGCTGGTAAATCTCACTCACATCTCTCAACAGTGTTGATGGTGGGTGAGGTCATCACCCCAGTCCCAGAGAGGAAGGCAGTGGGCACTTGATGAGGTCACAACCCTCAAGGAGTGATGCTGGGCCAGACTCAGAGGAGCTCACCCCAAAACCCCACTCTCAACCCCTCCACACTGCCTCTAAGCAGAGATGATGCTTCCAATTGGACCTCTAGGGATGAAAGTCACTTCCCATATATATGAAATAAGAAGAGTTTACAACATGGATTGAATCTTTCCTGTTGTGACTTAAAAAAAAAAAAAAAGTGCCACACTCCATCACCCATGCTGGTACGCAACATACAGTGGAAAAGTATCTGATGGGGATGAAGAGTCTAGTGTGTGAATCATAAATATTTATTCATTAAATGATAGGAATATTCAGCCCCCTCCTCATTCCATCCTCTCTATGAGACAACTGGTAAATTCATCCTACAAAGCCGAGGCCTCAGCATCCAAAACAGACAAAAACCAGTGGCAGGGAGTAAAAGCTGATTAATCCCACAATTGCAGTCCACATGGCATGTTTTATAACCCTATTATTTGCCAAATCCTCTCTTATCCCAAGTTCAAGATAATTAAAATAATTTGATTCAATGGGCAGAGGCTTAATAATTTAGGTTCAGCCCTGATATTGAAAGGCCAAGAGTTATTTATATCACTTATCCTCTATCATTGATTGCTTAGCAAGCATGGTGCCTGATCACTGGAATTTATTTATAATGCTGAGGTCCCAGATAAAATACTTTCCATGCAGAGGCAGTAAACCCCGACATTTATTTGGTTAATAGATTAACTAGGAAGATGTACAAAGATTACTGAATGGAAGCCAAGTAAGGTTTTTATTATAGCTGCTATCTTAGAAACTATCCTACAGAAAAGTTCAGTTCCGGTCAGAAAACCTGATGATTAAAAAATGTGTCAACCCCTCTGTAGTATTCTACCTACAGAGATAATTTTGCCCATAGGATGCTTGCTTAGAGCAGGACAAACTGCAGTTCAAAAAGTAATATCATGACCTATATTCCCAACATTATCAGGCCACTGGTAAAGCTGTCTTCATCTAGGAAAAAAAAAAAGTGATAATGAACAAAATTAACTGGAAAAGACTTCTGGCTTGAATAGTGCAATGTGACCATGGAACTTTCCAGATAGAGTGATCTCACTGGGGAAAGGGGTCCGTGGGAGTGAAGGTCTCTCTCTGGCCCACCATTGGTGGGTCAGCTTAGCAGAAGGAAGCTCACAGGTGTGGGGTTTGGGGAGTTTGAGGGAATTGTGTCCCGGAAGTGAGACTCTCAAACTGACCCCTTTTTGAAGAAGCATCCACACCAGGAGTAAACCTGATCCATAGCTGCACCAACAAGCAGCTTAAAGAAGAATAAAAATAAGAACCCTCAAAACTTATGTAAGGGACTGGGTAATTTTCTGGAAAAGATTCATTAGCATTTAAATAACAAGCTCCGCTATTTAAGCTCCACTTATCACGTTGACAGTGCCTGGGAGACATGCAACCTCCTACCCAGGAGAAGGTTTTTCTGTCTCTTTGAGGACCTCTCTCCTAGCATTTAGGCAGAGAAACCCAATTATCATTCATACCTTTCTGTCCAGAGAGCTTGGCGCTCCAGCATAACTCATTTACATTCTAATCAAGGCCCCCCAAAATCCTCCAATAAAGTCGTCCGTGGAATTTTGCAAGTAACGGATGAAATGTGTCTGAAAATCAATGCCCCAGAGAATTATGCACCAAGACTGAGCATTTTGATGATCCAGGAAATCTTAAAATATATCGACCGAGCTGCCATCTTTATGCCTCTCTGCAGCGTTGTAGAATGATGGATTAGATTCAAAGTCTGGTAACTGGAAACTGGCAAAAAGGAAAATTCCCCCACTTTAAAAAGAAAGTCATTTCACCACTTTCAAGTGTCATGCCCCATGACCCAGTGTGGAATTATAGACGAGCTAGTGTCACGCAGACACCGTGCCTGACTCTTAGATATCTGGCTAAGGACCCGCTTGGCCAAGTAATGGGCAGTCTTGGACTAACAGGTGGGGTCTTAGGTTCTGTTCTTATCACTTAATAGCTGCATCACTTCTCTCTGAGCTTCCACCGCCTCAGCTGTAAAGTGACTCTGGGCTGCATGTATTCATCCTTTTCATCCAAGGTAGTCTTTGTCAAGGGATCACGGCAGGCTCTCAGTTAATTTTGGATGATCCCAGGATGAATGCCCTTACTCTGTCCTGCAGAAACTTGAAGGCTCAGGAGCATCATGAATCCATGTCATCAGGCCACAGGTTCTCCCTCTGTTTTTTGTTATTTAGTAAGTGTTCCATTAGCGATAAGCAGTCATCACAGATGGCAGTGTAGAGAGGTACCCAGATCAGTTTTGAAATAGAACTGCCTAAAATTCCTCTTTGAAAAGCAGAGAATTCAAAAATGGAGAAGGACCCTATATTGCCTTCAGGATGGAGCCCCAGAAAAATCATGCCTCTCCCTTTTCCACAGAATTCCAGTGTCCAACACTCTGTGCTATTGGACCATCTTTTTTTTTCTTAGCTAAGAATTGAGCTAAATAAGAACTCAGTCTGCCCACTTGACCTCTTGCCTCTGTTCCCAGACTCAGAGATGACGAAACCCACCTGGCTTCAGCCTGTGTGTCCATAAATCTCTGTGTTTCTGAAGATGGCAGAGCCGGGACATCCAAACATGCATGAACCCTTTGTTCTCTACGTTGAATCACCCAAGTCTTCATCAGAGTTCAGACAAGCATGTTGAAGAGATGCTGCCATATACAAAGGGATATGAGAGTGCTTGGACAGAAATGGATCTTCCCTCTTCCTCTGCTCTAGAGCATTGCAATTTAGTTGATGAACAACAGTCGTACTTGAGGCAGTGAGTTGATATTAGACAGCAGTCTATATAGGAGACCCTTGCTTGCTTTCCTAGAGCTGCTGTTAAAAACATGTCACAAACTACCTGGCTTTTTTTTTTTTTGAGTGGCTTTAAAGAACCAGAATTTATGTGCTCACAGTTCTACTAGTGACAGGTCCAAAGTCAAGGTGTCAGCAGGCCACACCCCCTCTAAAGCCGATAGGGAAGTTGAGTGGCTTTAAAAGAACCAGAATTTATGTGCTCACAGTTCTACTAGTGACAGGTCCAAAGTCAAGGTGTCAGCAGGCCACACCCCCTCTAAAGCCGATAGGGAAGCACCTTTCCTTGCCCCTTCCCAGTGTGTGGTGGTGGTCTCTGAGCTCCGCAGTCCAGCTGTGGCCCTTGATCCATCACCCTCTCCTCCTTGTCTGTCTCCTTGTCTTGTGAGGAAACCAGTTATGTTAGCTCCAGAAGGCACCCTACTCCAGTCTGGCCTCATCTGAGCTAATAACAAAAGCAGTGACCCCACTCCTAAATACGACCACCATCTGAGGTTCCAGGCTCAGGATATGGGCATATGAATCTTTTTGAGGGAACAGAGTTCAACCTGTAAGAATACCTCGAGGTAATACTGTAGCAGGGAGGCCCCATTAGAGCATGCATGGCCCAACTCTTCCCTTTTACAGAAGGTGGTGATTCTTAGGAAGTTTAAGTGATATGAGGGGTGTCATGAAACTATTACGAGCCCAGAGCAAGACTCAAATTCATAACTCCTGAGTCCAAATCTGATGTTCTTTCTCTACAGGGATTGTTTAAGTGCTTAAGTATCACATGAGTGCTTCAGACCCTAGGGGAAAGGAAGCCAGTGCTCCAGACAGGGCAATCAGGGAGAGCTTCCTGGAGGCAGCGTGAGTGGATCATAGAGCTGAATTGGGAGAACCCCACTCCACACCTTGATCACAGCCGACCACCCTCCCAAAGACAAACATAGACTTTGTTCTGGTTCTTCCCAGATCCCACCACCAGGAGAAATGCCAAGGCTGGGCCCACGGCGAGAAACCGGTACGCCAGCCAGTGGACCCTCAACAGACCCCACCCCACCGTTTCAACACACACCCTCACCACTGACTGGAGGCTGCCAACGCCCAGGGCCACAGGCTCAATGGACAAGGAGAGTGACAGCTACAGCGTCAGCCCCTCACAAGACACAGGTAGGCCTGCGTGCCCCCTCTTCCCTAACTGAGCAGGGCTACACTCAGTTTCAGGGCCCTACCTGCGCCCTTTCAAGGTTACTTTCAAATTGCTGGACCACTGACCTGACAGGTACCGAAGAAGCTATGCTTCATTGGCCAAATCTAGGGTCCAGTGAAGTCCGCAAAGCAAAACCAAAGGAATCTATGTGGCAGGCATCCCGAATCTCAGACTCACACTGGTCCCTCTGCCCTTCACTCCTGCCCTGCAGAGAGAAACACAGAAGTTTCTAAATGTTCTCCCATGACTACCATCACCCTGATTATACTTGGAGGGTGTGTGGCCCACTCCCATCTCCAGGATTAAGACTGGACTTGGAGTTGCATGACAAGGTCACAGCACCCTGGATGGGGAACATGGCTGATCCATTTGACAGTGAAATAGGACTTGATCATCTTGTCTGTGCCATTCGCCAAGACCTCACCCTAGAGGGAAGACAGAGCCTAAGAATAGCACTGGGTTGCCCACCCTCCCTCCAATCTCAAATGTTGAAAAGAAATTCTAGCTAAACTTAATAGCTGTAGGAAATTTTCATACTCATTTTCTTTTGTTCTGGATGATATACTTCAAAAATAGTCTTCCAGAGGTGGAGCATCACCACGTGCATTTATTTTTATGGCAGTTATTTCTCTTACAAGAACCTTAGAGTTCCACTGAGGTGACTTCAGAACTTTTGAGTGGGTTTAAAATGTAGAGAGTCCTCTTACCCAAGATGTACCTTTTAGGGTTCTGGCTGGTCTCTGGTCTCCATAAAGGGTGAGCCTCAAACACAAAGGATGTGCCCCAAGGTTCAGCTGCGATTCTGCCTAGTGACCAATTCCATGTACTTACATGTTCGTTTCTAAGGATCGGCCTGTATTCCTGCCACAGGAGCTGAACACAGAGCTCAGCTCATCCCTGACAATGAAAGTGTCGCTGTGGCCCAGGAAGACTTAGAGAGCAGTAAGGGGGCTCTGCCGTTCATGCATATTGCATTCCCATCTGTCTTGAATCCACCCGCAATGCAGGAGACATGGGTTTGATCTCTGAGTCGGGAAGATCCGCTGGAGGAGGAAATGGCAACCCATTCCAGTGTTCTTGCTTGGAGAATCCCATAGACAGAGGAGCCTGGTGGACTATAGTCCATGGGATCCCAAAGAGTCAGACATGACTGAGCAACTAAATGACAAGCCAGCTGTCTTAACTAAAAGCAGAAGTTTTCAGGGGGATGTATTGCTGATCTATGGCAATGTCCCATACTGGGGACAGGTACCTCCAGCAAGTCAATTGAAACCCTGAAGCCACATGGCTGAGGCTCATGAAGGTGGCCTCACAGTGACAAAGGCAGTCCTCAGATAAAGACCCAGGACTCCTGCCCAGCTGCCCAGTGATGGGGAGAACCAGCCACAGGCCCATGTCACCATGCAGTCAGTGCAGACTCCCAGTGACAACTCATCATCTTGTTTTCTCTTTTTCATGGCACAGATCGAGCGCGAAGCAGCATGGTCTCCACAGAAAGTGCCTCCTCCACTTATGAAGAACTGGCCAGGGCCTACGAGCACGCCAAGATGGAAGAGCAGCTGAGGCACGCCAAGTTCACCATCACGGAGTGCTTCATCTCAGACACATCGTCCGAGCAGTTGACGGCAGGGACAAATGAGTACACAGACAGTCTGACCTCCAGCACCCCTTCGGAGTCGGGGATCTGCAGGTTCACCGCCTCTCCCCCCAAACCTCAGGATGGAGGACGAGTGATGAACATGGCAGTTCCAAAGGCACATCGGCCAGGTGAGATGAGACACGCCTGGACCGGTGTCGGGGAAGCACGTCTTCCCAAGACACACTCTTCCACTGTGAAAGCCTTCTTGGTGTTTAGACTGGTCTTCTGTTTATTGATTGCTGAATCATGTACCACCCCCAAAGCCTAGAGGCTTATAGCAACAATGATCGTTTATTTCATGTATGAATCTGAAACTAAGTCGGAGCTTGGTTGGGACACCCACACCAGCCATGTCCATGGGGAAGCCCAGTTAGGATGGAGAAGACATGTTCAGTCACTCACCTGGAGGGTGGGTTCTGGCTGTGTCCTCCCAACATAGGTTTCTCCATGATCTGGCTTTTGCTTCCTCCTGTCTGAGAGATGGACAGTGGAAATAGCCATTTCCTTAAGCCTGGGCCTGGAAACTGACACAGCATTTCTGCCATATACTGTCAGTCAAGTGACCACAAAGCTCTGGGAGCCCAGGTTCTAAGAAGGGAGCTCTCTTCTGCTTGAGAAGTATTGAAAATTGGGGGTGAGGGTTTCAGAAGGAGAGCAGTCTTACCAGTGAGCCAGACTCTGGAACTTGGCTTCACTGAGTTGCCCAATGTGACAGTGAACGGCTGGTATCAGGTTGGCAATATATTGCTGTCTGCCTTGAGCAGTATAGTGAGTAGGAGCTGCAAACCCTGAGGCCTGCAGGGCCTGGCAGATTCTGTGAATGAGTGAAGAGGGTGAGGAGCAGGGCAGAGGGAGGGAGAGAGACCTGGAGAACTCGCGAGTTCAGTGACTATAGAGGAAAAGACTCCAGCAAACTCCTGCCAACTGATCCCGAGTGGAAATGGGGACCTGTAAGAGGAGATTCTCAAGAGGAGACAGATATTTTGGTTTTCTATGGAGACTCACAGTTTTCAAGTGTTTGCTCAGATTTGTGCAAATCATCATACAGAGCAAATAAAACACATCTTTAGAGCATCCAAACCACGGCAACCTGCCTGGACCGGTGTCGGGGAAGCACGTCTTCCCAAGACACACTCTTCCACTGTGAAAGCCTTCTTGGTGTTTAGACTGGTCTTCTGTTTATTGATTGCTGAATCATGTACCACCCCCAAAGCCTAGAGGCTTATAGCAACAATGATCGTTTATTTCATGTATGAATCTGAAACTAAGTCGGAGCTTGGTTGGGACACCCGCTCCAGCCATGTCCATGGGGAAGCCCAGTTAGGATGGAGAAGACATGTTCAGTCACCCACCTGGAGGGTGGGTTCTGGCTGTGTCCTCCCAACATAGGTTTCTCCATGATCTGGCTTGTGCTTCCTCCTGTCTGAGATATGGACTGTGCAAATAGCCATTTCCTTAAGCCTGGGCCTGGAAACTGACACAGCATTTCTGCCATATACTGTCAGTCAAGTGACCACAAAGCTCTGGGAGCCCAGGTTCTAAGAAGGGAGCTCTCTTCTGCTTGAGAAGTATTGAAAATTGGGGGTGAGGGTTTCAGAAGGAGAGCAGTCTTACCAGTGAGCCAGACTCTGGAACTTGGCTTCACTGAGTTGCCCAATGTGACAGTGAACGGCTGGTATCAGGTTGGCAATATATTGCTGTCTGCCTTGAGCAGTATAGTGAGTAGGAGCTGCAAACCCTGAGGCCTGCAGGGCCTGGCAGATTCTGTGAATGAGTGAAGAGGGTGAGGAGCAGGGCAGAGGGAGGGAGAGAGACCTGGAGAACTCGCGAGTTCAGTGACTATAGAGGAAAAGACTCCAGCAAACTCCTGCCAACTGATCCCGAGTGGAAATGGGGACCTGTAAGAGGAGATTCTCAAGAGGAGACAGATATTTTGGTTTTCTATGGAGACTCACAGTTTTCAAGTGTTTGCTCAGATTTGTGCAAATCATCATACAGAGCAAATAAAACACATCTTTAGAGCATCCAAACCACGGCAACCAGTTATAGTTCTCTTTTTTTTTTTCCATTTATTTTTATTAGTTGGAGGCTAGTTACTTTACAACATTGCAGTGGTTTATAGTTCTCATCTGAAAAATCCTTTTTTTCTTTCTCACCCTGAAGTTTCTGTCTATAGATTTGACTTTGTGCGCTGGCTGATCCATTCTTGTTGAACCCAGTTTTGTTTCTCATTTTCCTATTTTCTGAACTGCTATATAGGTTCTATTTCAAAAATGTATATCCATTTAAATCACCACTATTCCTTTGGGCTTTTCAGCAGAAGGCCAGGCTGAAATGAGCTTTATAAATTCATAAAAATATATAAAATAAAAATTGTCTATCTGGCAACTAATCTCCCAAACTGAGTCAAGATCCACACCAGCTGACTATCAGGAATGATGGCTTCATTTATTTCTGTGCTGTCTACCTCCTCAGGGAGAAGATGTTGTTATCAGTGGGTGTTTTTATCCAAAGGACTTTTTGTTGCTGGCATTTATTTGCAAGGCAGATGCAGCATGTGTAGGATAAACAGCATGACTTTTTTTGTGGCTGTACAGCTTGAGGTTGAGGAAGACAGGGGAGGAGAAAAGTGAGCCTCTGGGCTCTTGTTTAGTCTTGCTGAGCTGCAGTTGGCTCGTCTGTAAAATGGGAATGACATAGACGCCCACTATCTGGGCTTTGTGTAAGCTGTGTGTCCCCTGATGCAGGTGTCAGCAGCAGTAGTGGTCACTCGGGTCTTGGGGTCTTGCCTGGTTGACGCACTGTTAAGGCTCCCACGGTGACCCCAGTGATGGTCTCAGGATGAGTTGCTGCCCCCCACCCCTTCCTTCTTCCTTTGGTTTATTTTCCTCCCGTGGCCATTGATTCCTGGAGAGCATCCTCCTCATTTGTGTGTTACCCAGTTCTATGATACACTGTGACCAAGTGGGACTTCTCAGGAATTCAAGGATGGTTCAATATAAAATCATTAATATTAACGGAATGGGGGGGGTGGGGATGCATGATCATTCAAGGCAGAGAAAGCATTTGACAAAACCCAACATTTTTCTCAAAAAAGTAAGAACACTCCACAAGCTAAGAATAAAAGATAATTCCTTCAACTTGAGAAAGGGCATCTATGTGAAACAGTTAACATCCTACTTAATGGTGAAAAATTGAATACTATTTCCCTAAGATCAGGAATAAGATGAAGATGTCTGCTTTTCCCGCTTCTACTTACTATTGCACTGTAATTTCTGGTAAGGCAAGTTAAGAAAATGGCATCCATATTTGGCAGATAAAAGTAAAGCAGTGGCAAAGATTCCGCTTGCCAGTGCAGGAGATGCAAGAGATGCAGATTCAATCCCTGGGTCAGGAAGATCCCCTGGAGTAGGAAATGGCACCCCACTCCAGTATTCGAGTAGCCAGGCAGGCTAAGTCTATGGGGCTGCAGAGAGTCCGACACAACTTGAGCAGCAGTTAAGTACTTCACACTCCCATCTGAGACACACACCACACTTCCCCTTGCATACAGCAAGTCCCTGGAGGAGCACCAAGTATGTGTGCAGGTCTTGAAATAGTTAAAGGTGTGTGTCTTGTTGATGACTTGTTATTCAGTGTTTTTTGACTCATATTAAAAAAATGTTTTAACTGTTTTCATGAGATTGTTGCCTGGATCCATCAGAACAATTGAAAAATCACAGCTAGGGAAGGTACTGTTGTCTTAATATATGCACTATTTATGTATTATTTTTTAACCTCATTTTAAAAATTAATTAATCAATTATTTATTTATTTGGCTGTGTTGGGCCTCAGTTGTGGCAAGTGGGATCTTCCTTGCATCAGGCAAGATCTTTTGTTGAGGCCCATGGACTCTCTAGTTGTGGCATTCAGGCTCAGTAGTTACAGCACTCAGGCTTAGTTGCTCCACAGTTCATGGGATCTTCGTTCCCTGACCAGGAATCACACCCACATTCCCTGCATTGCAAAGTGGATTCTTAACCACTGGACCCCCAGAGAAGTCCCTTAATATACTATTTAGACTAAAATGATTTTATAACTTTAGGTATGAATAAGCTTTTAAATCCACCTGAATTCTAATGTCCACAAACTGTGTTGTCCACTCTAGATGCCAAAATTATTATTGAACATTTGATATACTTTTAGAAAAATATGTCATCCTCTGGAAGCCTTCCTGTATCTCCTTTATAATGGAAGTAAATTAAACACTGGGCACAAAACCCACAGTTACAATGTAGTATCCTGCTGACTGGAGACTGTCAAAATTAGCAGTTCCTTGAACAGGTCTTTCAAACCAAAGTCTTTACCTGTGTTCCCTTGTATTTCTGAATGCTTATCAGTCATCCAAGTCTCTGGATATCTGTTTTCTTGCCATCAGTTCTTCTTTTTTGATGAGCTTTTTTTTTTTCTCCATTTCTAATCCCAAGCTTTTAAGTTCTTTGCAAATCAGGTTTAAGTTAAATGAATCTGGCCAGATTGTGGCTGCAGGAAAATAGGAAAAATGTCTTAGTTATCTTAGTTATCTTTATTTTCCCCCCAGTGCCTCAGATATCTGACAGCATAAGGAGTGTTCAAGAAATATTTTCAGCTGACTTAATGCATTGAATATATACTCCTATCACTGCCTGGTGTATAGCAGGTGCTTAATAAATGTTATTGAATGAATTAATACATGATGATTGTGATGATGAAAAGATTGGCCAATTGGTTCAAATATTACAACTATAGTAAAATAAAAGAGTACATTTAAGTCTACTCCATCTTCCAGCCTAGCTTTAAACAAAGTGATTTATTTTCTAATCTTGCTCTTAAATCAAAACAAACTCTCTTCCGCCAATGGGGGTAGTTCCTGATTAAATGTGGACAGCGACTACCAAGGCAGGTATCAAAATCTAGTTTTAGATTTTTAACACATTTGAATTTTGAATTTGCTGCCTTTTTAGGACTTGTGTATTTCAAGTCAAATGCAAGTCTTGTAACTTCCATTTTCTTCAATAAGTCATGGCTATTTCCATCTTTAGGGCTCCCCTGGTGGCTCAGAAGGTAAAGAATCTCCCTGCAATGCAGACCTGGGTTCAATAGCTGGGTC